TTCGGCACGACTCGCTGCCGTCCGAAATGTCGGCCGGCCACCTCGGCGGCCGTCGCCACCGCCGCCGCCGCCGCCTCACCCACATCGCTGGGGAAGGCATGGCCACCTACCCACCTACCCGGTACCGGTTGGGCAGGGCAGGGGCCGCGCGTCGCTGCCCTCAAGGCCGCCTGGTCGAGCCCCGCTGAGGCTGTGAGCAGCAGCAGCAGCAGCGTGCGGCCTGGCCTGGCTCTGTGCAGCTGAGGTTCACTAGCTTGTGTGACCCGCACCGCCGATGGTGTGTGTATTATATTAAATTTCCTTCCCTGCGCCGTGAGTGAGCAGGTTGCGCGCGGCGGGCAGCTGTCGCGGCCTGTGAGAGGCGCGCGGTGTTTGAGTGCCCCGGGGTGTGGAGTGGGGCGGCCGCGGGGGCCGCGGGGGCTGCACGACGGCGGCCTCCTGGCGGCGTGACGGCTGTCGCCCCTGCCTGCCCTGCCCCTGCCGCGCTATGCCAGCTTTTGGCTCAAGTTCACCCACCTCTACGCCACAATGACTAGTGGCGCGGTGAGGCCCTCCTGCTCCCCCTCCTGTCCTGGCAACAGGCACGATTGTGGTGTATGTGCGCGCGAGAGACGCATTTGATCTTTCGCGGAAAAGGGGCTGGGGGGGGGGGGGGAGGTCGGGGACTTCCCTTGTTTTGGACCTCGTCTACCACCAGGCTCTTTGTCGGCGGAGAAGAGAGAGACGTGTCAGTGTGTGTGGCTCGGGCCCGCGATCTCTCACATGTGTACAGGCAGACTGCAATTCAGGGGTGGCTCCCAGGATCCGGAACGGCATTTTGCGCATTCTTCTTTCAGGACACCGCATATGTATATTTATTCGCGATGCCCTTGCCCACACCACGCCCAACAGCCCTACACAGTGGCCAGATGTGTACACTGTACACAGTCCAGGCACCTGGTTTTACAAAATTGTGTACACACTGAAAGGTGTTCAGCGCTCCGCTCACATCCTGCATACCCATAGCTGGGGCTGGATAGGTGTAGTCGAAAAAGAGGCGGCGCTCCAGCCAGGCACCCCGAGCTAAAGAGTACTGCACGCATACGCCACAGTGCAGGGGTGTATGGATGGACACTGGTCGTCAAAGGGTGTCCTAAAAGTACGCGCCGAATAATGTCGGGACACCCTCGACTGCCTAGGTGGCTGGTTAACCCCGCTCACTTCTGTTCGTAGTTAGGCTGTACCGCACGCACGGAGTGCGGGCGGGTTGCCTACTCGCTCGGTCCGCAAGGCGCCGTGGGCCGGGACGATAGGCAAGCCCGCCCGCATTCGTGCGTGCTGCGGTACAGCCCAACTACCGAAGTGAGCGGCGTTAGCCCGCAACCTGGTGCAGTGCAGCGTAGCAGGCCATTCCTCGCGAGCTCCAGGGCGATCGCCCGTCGTCGTCGCCGTCATGGCTGACGGGGCCGTTCGGGCCGTTCACTCGCCGCCGCACCCTCCTCGTCGGCGGCGGCCGCCAAACGTTGCCGCGCCGCCACCGACGTGAGACGTTCTGGTGGCGATTGTCTTGTTTTTGTCGGCGGCAGTGAAGAGCCTTGCTGGCGGGGGGTGTGTTGCGCGAATGTGGAGCATCGCGGCAGCATCCCCGAAATAACCGATAGGAGGGAGAGTTAGGGAGGGGAGGAGGGCGCCACCACACCACCTCAACTAATGCTCGACAAACACACAGGCGCGCGGGCGCGGGTGTCGTCCTGGTCGTCAACCGCGCTCTGTGCACGTGGGGGAGCAAGGGAGGGGGGGGGGGGTATACACCAAGCGCTCTGCCCAGCGCAGGTGTCTGGGCTTGCCTAGGTGCGCAGCCGCGCGCCGCCCGCCTGCCCGCCCGCCCGCCTGCCTGTTGGTGCCGAGTCGTGAGTTGTGTGTACCTTTAGGACTCGCGTCATGGCTGACATGAACACGCCATCCGCGAATACATTATTTGGCGCACTCCGTGGCACTCTCGCACAGAAGCGCCGCCGCCGCCGCTAGAACACGTCAATTTTTAAAAAATTATTTTGTTTTTTCGAGATTTGCGTTCTTTTTCATAAGATTTTCTTTTCCGAGAATGAGGTTTCCTTTTTTTAAGATTTTCTTTTCCGCGGATGGGGTTCTTTTTTTTTTGTGGCTCTCAAGCCAATAGTTGAAGGTGTACTGGTATGTGGGCTGTTCTTATTTAATTTTTTTTAGCCGAAACGATAAAGCAAGCCCACCAGAGAAGCTGATGTTTCCGCCTGCGGCGCGTGTATACCTACCACGGCATCAGAGACATTTAGTATCTACCACTTTGCTGAGATCGAAGTGAAGTGCTGTGACAAGAGCAAAGAGCACCCTCCGCGCGCCATCTAAAATGCCTCCGGAGGGCGTCGCTGCGGGTTGCGCGAGGGGAGGGGAGGACGGGCGTCGTCGGGAGGG